TCTCTCTCTCTCTCTCTGTCTCTGTCTCTGTCTCTCTTCTGTCTCTCTGTCACTCTCTCTGTTGTCTCTGTCTCTGTCTCTCTGCTGTCTCTCTCTGTCTCTCTGTCTCTCTTCTCTCTGTTTGTCTGTCTGTCTCTCTCTCTCTCTCTCCTCACACCTCAGCTTTCTTTTAAACACTTCTGTTTTCTCCTTAAAATTCTTTCTGCTAACATTTTGCCTCCAAACCTATGATAATTGATTTGTCAATTGTACAAGACATATAAATCCTAACCAACCACTACAAACAGTCACCTGCTATTAACTGAAGAGGGATGAAAGTAAAGACATTTACCTTATGGAACTGACAAAATTAAGGAAAAATTAATAAATTCTATTGCAGACAAGGGTTCATCTTGTTAGAAACTTCCTTAAAGATAATTTAGCTGCCTTTAATTCCTTTGATCCAGAAATCCCACCCAAGAGCATCTACCCACCCAGGAAAATCATTCAGAAAGAGGAAAAAAAATCTGTATCTACAATATGTTTATAATCACAGAACATGAGAAGTTATTGAGGTGATATCTTGAATTTAAGTTTTACTTTATAATTTTTTAAGTTTTTTAACCCTAAAATGCTTCAGTGTTGCATATTGACTTATGCCAGACCAGACTGTGAAGATCTGATAAACATGAATAAAATGTCTCTGGCTTTGGAAGCATATAAAAATCCACTTAAAGTCACACATAATAACAAACACTGTTATATAAATAAGAGGTATAATTTATCCTTTCATTTTGGCATGTCACATGACAGGATACATGCAGATGTAATGGAAAAAGATTCCCCTGGGACTTAGCACACCAGAGCCCTCACTCAAGGTTCCCATATTGGAGGACAGGAGACTAGGCCAAGGATGGCACAGTGTACCACTCCACCCCCCATGTTCCCCATCTCTGAGCCCCTCCAAGACACAAGGAGTAGAGAAGTCAACCCAAAACCCTTCCTTGTTTTTTGTTTTATTCTGGTCTGGGGAGGTTGTCTTGTTTTGATTTTTGTTTTTTTGCTTTTGGAGGTTTATTTTTATCTTTTTGACATAGCAGTTCAGGCTGGCCTGTATCCACTTTGTAGCCCAGGCTGGCCTCGAACTCACAGTGACCTTTCTGTCTCAGCTTTGGGAGTGCTGAGAGTATAGGCCTGTATCACCATGCCTGGCCCCTTGTTTTTAAATGATTTGATTTTTGGCTTCTAAAAGTATTAGTTCTTTCTCTGTTGCTTAGTTCAGGGCTAGCTTGAAAAATGAAAGAATGTTCAGAATGTAAATCACCACCAACATTGACCAATAAAGTAAGACAAAAGTATGGAAACAGCCACCAAAACAGTAAAAGGAGTCGGGAAGATAGCTCAGTGGCATCAGGGCCTGCCTGAGGAGCACAAGGCCCTGAGTTCTATCTCCAATACAAAAAAAAAAAGTTTGAAATGTGAGACAAATCTAACAAAACAACAAAAGGACACTTCATTCAGCAGATATTTATTTGGAACCTATCTTTCATCTTTCTAAGTATAAGAAACAAAATACCCTCAAGGAATTTGCATTCTAAAGAGAAGGGTAGACATAAACAATAAACTAAATAAATAAAATTTTTGGATGATCCCCAAATGGAGAAAAAATAAGATAATGCAGAGTAATTCTGCAAAGGAAGTAAAAAATTTGAAGTAGGGTGCCCAGGAAAGACTTGTGTAAAAATATCAACTGAGTGGAGACCTACAAGAGAAGCAGCAGCTCTGAGGAAACTGTGGTTATGCCCAGAGGGAGGGAAATCACTGGAAGGAGGTAAGCAAAGAAAGTCCGAGCCTGAATTAACAGTTTCACTCTCTCTGCTGGGCCTGAGGTAGGCTGGGGCCAGTTAGGAAGCTACTGCAGTAATACAGCCAGGACACCAACAGGCAAAATGGTAACAAGTTTGTGCATCTGGATAGATCTTGGAGGAAGACTCTGTATGATTTGCAAAAGAACTGGATGTGTGGTGGCAGAATAAAGGTCAATAGCAAACTTGGGCCTGAGGTGGTAAGAACAAGGGCATGAGCAAGTTTGCAGGCAGGTCTGGGCTGGGAAGGTTGAGTGTCTGTGTGACATCCTCAGGCGGCTCTCCAGTAGGAAGTTGAGTAGGCAAGAGTAGAGTTGGAGATGAGGTTCCAGACGGTCGTTACAAATTTGGGCATTATCAGCATATGAGTAGTTCAAATGATACTAATGGCCTAAAACTGGAGGAGATCACTGGGAAAGTGTAGGTAGAAAAGAGGTCCAAGGACCTAGGAGAAATCTATGCTAAGGATATAGGCGCAGGATGAGGCCTACCTAAGGAAACAAGAAGGAGTGGACAGAAGGCTGGAAGGAAACCAGGAGAAGGTGGCAGAGGCCAAGCAGACAGCATTTCTAAGAGAAAGGTGTATTTATGGGATAGCAATTGGTGCTTTAGATCTAAACTCATAGATTTTGTACAAGTGAAGATGCTATATGTGTCTTAGTTGCAACCTTCTAAATAGAAATACATCTTGGAACATCCAGAAGTTTACGTTTTTTCACCTTTACCCACATTCATATCACAAATGATCACTTTTACTTATTCCTATGCCTTTTTCCTTATTTCATAAAGTTGTGATTAAGATCCACATGATTACAAATTGAAAATATTTATTCCAGCCCTCCACAATATGAGTTAATGAAGAACAAGACTCATTTAAAAACCTTTTGTTGAATAGACATAAAAAATCACTTCTGTATATATAAAACTGTTGAATTTACATTTGATTTGAGTGTGTGTGCATATTGGACAACTTTCTATTACTGTGACAAAATATCTGAAAAAATCAACTTACAAGAAACAATGATCAGGGCCAGGGAGAAAGCTCAGTGGTCTAAGTGCCTGCCTGGCAAACACAAGGATCTGGGATTGATCCCCAGTACCACATGCTGCACTGGCCCTGCACTGAGCTGGCCACCAAAACCAGGCATGGTGGAACATGCCTACAATCCCAGCGCTGGGGAGGCTGGGATAGGGGGATCACTACATAGACAGATAGACAGATTATATAGATATAGATATAGATATAGATATAGATATAGATATATATAGATATATATAGATATATATAGATATATATAGATATATATAGATATATAGATATATATGCAATGAACTCTTTTGACTCACAGTTTTGGAGGTTTCTGCCCAGGGTTGGCCTTCCTTTTGCTTTGGGGCCTGTGGCAGCACAGTACCTCATGGTAGGAGCACATGGCAAAGAAAGCAGAGACAGAGACTGGCATCCCAAACCCTCTGTAAGGGCCCATGACCACTAACCTAAAGCCCTCCAACTAAACCTAACCTTTTGAAGGTTCCACCACCTCCCCAAAACACCACAGATGGGGAGAAATCCTGTACTACATAGTCCTTTGAGAGCCATTTACCTAAACTTAGCAGGGTATAATACTCTGGGAGCTCATGCACATTATCAAATGGAGATGATTGTAAGTATATTCATCAATAGTACATATTGATCACATTTGCTTACTCAGACCACTTCCTACCCTAAATCCTGGTTTAAGAAATCTGGCTTTCTTACTCTCTGATGAAAAAAGTAGACACCTATATTCTCAGCACTTAATAAGCTAAAGCTGAAGGATTATGAGTTCAAGGCTTTCTGAGCTCAAACTCAGCCTGGATTATTTAGCAACACTCTGTCTTTAAAAAAGAAAAATTGAGAGCTGGGGAGATGGCTCAGTAGAATAAATGCTTCCCTGGCAAGCGCAAGGGTCTGAGTTCAATCCCCAGTTCTGCAAAAAAAAAAGAAAGAAAGAAAAAGAAAAATTGAAGTACAATGACATGTAATGGTAATGTTACCCCAAGGAAGGCAAAAGCAGAGGAATTACAAGTTCAAATCAACATGTACAACTTAGCAGGACTGTATCTAGAATATAAAAATAAAAAGGGATAGGGATGCAGCTCAGTGGTAGAGCATACCCTATAGGTTCAATTCCCAATACCACCATCACCAAAACAAGAAAAAAGAGTCCTATATTTAAACACTCAATCAAGTTTAGAGGAGAGAAGAAATGATGGAACACACGCATCCAGTGTCCAGTCTGCACTTCATTCAGCTTTTCCTGGACATCATCTGGCCATTTCAGTAAGGCAACAAAGGAAAGCAGATGGAACTGAAAAGCAAATAAACAGCAACCTTTATCTAACTGGAAATACTCATAAATTTTAAAGTACAGGCTCGGCTACATCACAAAAGGGATTTTCTTTGTCTAAACATAGCCATATTTTACTCCATTATAAACTAATCTAAATTTTCCAGAGATATTTGTTGTACAAAGATTTCATTTATTCTAAGACCATTTTGCAGAACATTCCTCCAGTAAACTGAAGTAGATGTGTGCCATCGGACATCATTATAACATACCTAAATCTGTAGATTCTAGTCTAGAGCCAATTCTGGTAAAGAATTAGGGATGTAGCTCCTAGGGGTTGTGTTTTCACAGGTATACCACGTAGACGTACTGAGACAGTACACTAAATATAAGCAGTAAGGGCTCTTCCTGGTGGACATGCACGACATCTATGTCGCCTTACCTTGTTTGAGTAATCTTCTACAGCAAGTTGCATATCCTGCTAACTCAAATGCACCTGTCTCCAGTGCCCTGGCATATTTTGCAGCCTTCTCTGGCACTACCTAATGAAAGCTGAAGAAAGAAAATATTTCCTTTCCATTATAATAGCAACAACAATCTCAAGAATGTAGCTACAAAAATACCATGCCACGTCACAGGTCTTTTCTTAATAATAAGTCTAAAAGCAATTAGCATCAGACCATCACATCAGGTCAAAGTGCAGGCATTTCTAAACTTTTATTAAAATGTTAAATTTTCAATGTTTATTAAACCATAATTTCTTAATGCCAGTGAGTATTCGATTAATGTAACTGTTTAGTTATATTGATACCTTCTGCTTTGCATAAAGCATTCTTTTCTATTGGATTGTAAACCATAAAGATTATGAATGAAGGTATTTTCAACTCAGTTTTATATGCTCTAACACAGGACTATAATGGGAAAGATACAATCTTTCTTTGACATTTGCCAGGAATGCTATTTACTAAAACTACCACTTATATCAGTCCTTCTGATCATATTTTGAGTTTAAAAGAACGACCTAGCATAATATCTAAGGCCGCTATTCCAAGGGTATCTACACCTACTTCATAGATGATACTGCAAGTCTGTGTGTGTGTGTGTGTGTGTGTGTGTGTGTGTGTGTGTGTGTGTACAGGACATTGACTCTAGGCCCCTAGCACTGAGATACATCTTCAGCCCTTTTACATTTTTTTCTTTTGCAAGACTTGCCATCCTCCTACCTCCAACTCCCAGGATTCTGGGATTACAGATCAATGAAAATTTCTTTCTTAATGTATAAAGAAGAAAGGGCCAGCGAACTCAAGTGCCTGCTTAGGCACAGGGCAGCGGCCGGGGTTTGATCCCCAGCATGCCCCGCCCACGGAGCACGCTGAGACAGCGACTAAGAATGTGTGGTGAAGTGCACCTGTAATTCCAGCACTTGGGAGGCTGAAAACAGGAGAATCACTATAAGTCCTATATACATAGAGAGACCCTGTAGACCCTGTAGACCCTGTCCTAAATATAGAAGGAAAATATATATATATACATATGAATAAGACATCCCTATAAAGTTTTAAGCCCCTATAAAAGTACTAGGGGCTTTCACTATCCCTTTCCCATCATACAGTCTCTCCCCCCGCTTAAAGCAGACAGCCAGGGAGATGGCTCAGTGGAATAAGCGCTTCCCTGGCAAGGGCAAGGGCCTGAGTTCAATCCCCGGTTTCGGAAAAAAAAAAAGCACACGGGCACACCTCTCTGTTGCCGCTGTGTTCTGACCTCTCTGGAGACTTCCCTAGACCACAAGCACAGATCTCAAAGGCAAGCCTACAGATGCCTACTTTCCTAACGGGTAGAACTCTTTACGCCCTCCCTTGTTTTTCACATCCACACTCACAGAAATGTCCTAAAAAGCCAACGGCTGGCCAACCAGAGGCACTTTCCAGGGTTTATGATTTATGTTGAATTTAAATAAATTTCAAGTACTCTAACAACTTGTCTTTCTCACTGCTCTCTTAGTTACTTTCTCCTCGCTGACACACACCAGACACAACTTGAAGGAGGAAAGATTTATTCTGCCTCACAGCTTCTACTAGTCAGCTGGGTCCAAGACAGGGCAGCTTGACAGAGTGGCACGGCAGAAGAGAAATGCTCATAGCACGGTAGGCGGAAGCAGAGAGGGAGCATGGGAAAAGAGAGAGAGATCCTTCCAGGCCATGTCCCTAGTGACCTACCTCTTCTGTCCAGACTTCACCTGCCAGTGTCACACCTCCTGTAAACTTGGGAGCACACTACTGCATCATCGTGCCTCCATGAGCCAGTCAGCTCCCCAAGGCCCCACCCACCGTCACACGAGGCTCTGAGGGAACATCTAGATAGAAACTGTAACAACCACATCTTTTTCTTTTTCTTTGTTGTTTTCTTTTCAGATATAGAGCTGTCGCCTCCTGGAGTCGTGTTCAAGGAATTGGGATTCCCTTGATCACTGCCATTGAAATTGTCTCCATCTGGATCCTTTCCTTTATCCTGGCCATCCCTGAAGCGATCGGCTTTGTCATGGTGCCCTTTGAATACAAGGGCGCACAGCACAAAACCTGTATGCTCAATGCCACATCCAAGTTCATGGAGGTACTGGTGGATTATATAATCTACTAAATATAATTTTTTTAAATTAAAAGGAATTGGTGGGGATTGGAGGGTCTTTATATTTCACCATCTTAAAACTTGTTAACATCTCCACAATGCCAGGTGTGCTTTCCAGTCAGTTCAGTAAAACATTCTTCAGATGTAGGAAAAGGCAGTGTGAAACCAGGTTTCTAATGAGGAGAACCATGATTCTACTTCATACACTTGTAGCATAACTTCAGACACCACTGTTGTCCTGCACTGAACCAAGAATTCTGTAACCAATTTACCAAGAAAGAGAAACTAGATGCTTATACACACAATGCCATTTATTTCAGCAACAGGAAACACAGTACAAGTTCATGACAGACATGAGGACTCTTATACTACTTGGGTATGGAATGGTACTTATATACATGTATTAATATGTACTCTAGATCTCAAATGCTAATAAGATAAAGTTGTATAACATTATATAAGAGCCCTTAGAATATTTTGCTGAGTTTACACACCTATAATATTCAATAACAGAACTTAAAAAAATGGGGTATAACTATGAGTGTCCATTTTGTATCTGTGTATTCAAAGTGGTTGGGATAGATATATAGTTGCATTCTCTTAATGAATAGAACGATTTGTTCTAATGGTGTTTGTAAATAGGATCACAAGTCCGCATCTTGTACAGCAATTAACCACTAAGAAGAATATATGCAGTGTATTATTTGTTGAAACTGTACTTTCAATTTGATTTGAAACTGTCTCATTGCTATATGTTTATCAATAAAACTTTGAAAAGAAAAAAAACATTATATAAGAGCCCTTTAGTTTAGCAAACTCAGTTATTCTTTTTTTTTTTTTTTTTTTTATGGAACCAGGGATTGAACTCAGGCCCTTGCGCTTGCCAGGGAAGCGCTTATTCCACTGAGCCATCTCTCTAGCCCCCAAACTCAGTTATTCTTTAGCACACCTGACCACATTAATGTTTCTCTGAAAAGCATAAGCACATGCTGAGTGTATTGGGAAACACACTACAAATGCATTCTTCTTTTTGCAAAACTAGTTACATGTGCCCCGGGGAAGAGAACCAAAAAGATAACTATTTCTTTAAATTGGCATAATGTAGTGCTTTGATGTAAGTATTATACAGCTCAAATTCCGTGTGTTATCATCTTCAGACATCTCAAAGCATGCCTTCCCAAACTGGAAAATTTACAAAATGTGTGGTTTTGCAATTGATCCATTATCTTGCTTGGAAATTCTTGTTTTAAAATTAAAGAGGATCTGTGAAAACTGCCCAAATGGCAAGTTTAAAATTGAAGTCTTCTGTTTATCTGTTGGCTTTTTAATTAAGTCAGTATTCACGGTAAAAAATAAAAGTAGGAGGTTATCAGGATGCGGGCAGTGTGGACATACAATCTACATATTCCAGAGAAAAACACTAGAGGAAAGAGGCTCAGTGTAAGAAAGCGCTCACTAATCCCTGGAGCTGGGGGAATGAAATGGGCTGCTCCATAGAGCCCCTGCTTAAGGGTTTAAGAGAAGGGTGACACCCTGCCAGCCAGGGTGGCATCGAGACTTGCAGAAAAGGGTTTAAGTTGAGCTGATGATATCTTAAAAGCTCTAGGTTTGAAGCCTTGTTTGTTTGTTTGTTTTTCCAGCTTTACTTCCTCTCTTTCTTCTATTCTTCTTTCCTCAACTTTGCTGTGCTCTGATCTGACCAGAAGCCTCCTCCAATCCTCCCTAATGACATCAGTTTAAAAGCACTGTGTGACCCCTTTCTCAGCATGCCTCCTCCATGGACGGGCTGAGCCTCCATGCAGCCCCTCTGGGGTCGACTTCTGGACCCTTTGCAGTGCTTGGGGCTCATTCGCACCACCACAGTGAGCCATGCAGTAGGAAGAAGGGGCTATATCGCTGTATACACAAAGTAGTTAGCATAGATGTACAGCTACTTTCTCTTAGTTCAACGAGAAGAAAGTTTTGAACTAATAGTGTTTAGATAAGATATCATGTCTTCATCTTGTATTATGAATAACTACTACAAAGACAACAACATGTAATGTATTAATTATTGTAACTGTCCTACTAACCTGTTTTGAAACTGTCTCATTGTTACTTCTTTCTCAATAAAATTAATATAAAAAAAGAAGGGGCTGTGAAGGAAGCCAGAAGACTCAAAGGAGTACTGGGTTGCATTTCAAAACAAAAAAAAGGCACAGCCTTCCTGATTTTTTTTAACTCAAGACTAAAATTCTTCCACAACATTATGGCCATAGGAACTATCTGCATAAGCAGATTTGAATCAACTAATTCGTTTGGGAGTTTGTCTAAAGTTCTTTCCATCCTCATACCGTGAGGATAGAGCTAAAGGGTCTGTGAGCTCAGATAAAAAAGAAATTTTGTATTTCCTTTCCCTAAAGTCTAAATGAAAAATATCATTCATTTCAGTTATGAAGGTGAGCAATGAGCCACAACTGTATTGAAGAGAACCACACTTTTTCACTGATAGAAATAACAGATGAGTTTCACACCACATCACACTGCATAATCTTGAGGTATCATTAATGTTCACAATTACCTCAACATTCTAGTACTTATTAGAGTGTCAGTAGTTTGATATTTAATTTGTTGATAAACATATCTATCGCTGTCAGAATTTTATCTTCAATATTTTGCAGCCATATTTTGATGTATTTGGTTCCATTATAAGTATATTTATTTTATTTTATTTTACACCTATAAAAATGTTGTTCTCAGAAGGAATTATATTACTCAACAGACCTCCCAAGGGGTCTGTGGCACAAAAATAATCAGAACCCCAGACTGAACTTTTTGTCTTCAGAAACCATTTTTAGATTATCTTAACAGACATATTGTAAATGTAGCCCAGTAGGCTCCTTGCTATATTCAGAAACTATCCAGTTTTTCAGAGCAGCATAGCTATTTTTTACTGTGGGAACTGAGATCTTATAGGAGACTGCATCCTTAGAAAATAAACAATCTGGAGAAACATCATCAGAAAAGAAAAAGCATTTCTTCCCAAGTTTGTGATTAATTTAGTGGGAAGAATTCAGATATCATGACCATCTTTCATTTTTACAGGGTGTTAAGTCTTCCCCTAAAAAAACATGATGCTGAATTATCTGAGTATTTACAAAGTCTTACCCACAGGGAGATAATGTTGAGAAGGGCTTCAGATAAAGCATGCTGCCTCAATAGTTTCCAGGTGACACAGGGAAGAAGTAGAGCTGCTGATGGCTTCAACTGGCTGAGTTTGGGGTCACATAGCAGGCATACCAGGCAAAGGGTTGACTCCCCTTAGCTAAAACGACACGGATAAGCAATTCATAACCCTTGCTGTTTCCAAACAAGATATTTACATTAAGTACACTTGAACCACAATAAACAAAAGTCAACCAGGCGTTGGCAAAATTGTAAGACTCATCCATAAACAGACAAACATGTCCGAAGTCATAATTTATAAACTTTGGCAGAGAACTGTTTTTATTGATATGGTCTCTTTTGGTGTATAGTTGAAACCAACTTCAGCTCATAAAAATGTACCCTGGTCAGGATATTTTTTACGTATGCTATTTCTTGTTGTGCTATTATAAAGAGAGGATGATTTCTGACTGTTCAAAGTTAATTGAGTTTTAAGCACCGCTCTAAACTCTTTACTGCAAGCAAAGTGCATGAATATAAACATCCGTCTTCAAGAATAAAGTTTGTGAAGCTATCAGAGGCTTAACTGACGTATTATATCCCTCTCTTTCTCTTGCTTTCCTTCACTGGACAGTTCTACCAAGATGTCAAGGACTGGTGGCTCTTTGGCTTCTACTTCTGCATGCCCTTGGTATGCACTGCGATCTTTTACACCCTCATGACCTGTGAGATGTTAAATCGAAGGAACGGCAGCTTGAGAATTGCCCTCAGTGAACATCTGAAACAGGTACATCTGTTACAGCCATGAGCACCTTCCCAAGGGCCAGGCATGGTCATGCAAACTCAGAATCCCAGCACTTGGGAGCTGAGGCAGGAGGATTGCTGCAAGTTCAAGGCCTGTCCAGGTTACCTAGTGAGTTTACGGTCAGTCTCAGTTACACAGCGAGACCCTGTCTCAAAAACCTAAAAGAATTTTTTTTTTAATTTAGTTTTTGTTATTTGTAATTGAATACCTGGTCAAGACTCTTGAAATCAGGAAGGCTGCAGTCATTTTCTTCATAACAGTATTTCAGTGTCAGACCACACATATGGCAGTGGTTCCATGGGATTGAATAGAGCTGAAAACTTCTCATTGTTTCATATTTTTACTGTGCCTTTTCTGTGCCTAGAGATGTTCAGACACACAAACACTGTCACGTAGCAGCTGCCTACAGTACTCACGGCAGCGATATGCTGCATGTTTATGTACCTAAAAGCAATAGGCTGGACCAGGTAGCCTAAGTATGACATAGTCTATGTCGCCTAGGTTTGCGTAAGTATCCTCCATGATGTCTGCGAAATGATGGACTTGCATCACTGTGCATAGCTCAGGCCCTATCCCTGTCCTTAAGTGACTCATGACCAGACTATATATAGCAGATTTTGCCTAGTTTTCTAAAAATAAAAATGCTGTCTTGCAATTTTCTTATAGTTATAATTTAGAAATTCATTTTGTGAACTGTGAAACAGATGGCCCTGAAGGCTGGGTCCAAAGGGAGAGGAACTATTTATTTAGTTCTCTAACAGTGTATTGAGGATGTGTATGTGGGTGACTATACATTATTTGAACTTGGAACTAGGCCAAGACAGAGAGAAGCACATGGCTTCCTTCCTTTACAAGCTGTAAAATCTGGCTACAGAAATGAAATACATGAAAAAATTAGAACAGAAAATGATCCAAGTACCTTGTAATATAGGAAACTGGAAGGAATATAAGATAGAGTCATGCTGAAACAGTTAATGAAGGAGGAGGACCAAACCAGGCTTCGGAGGATAAATGGCATTTGATGGGAAAGAGGAGGACGCAAGCTGTGTCTGTTGAGGGGGACAGAGTCTTGCAAGGACAGGCAATAGGCACCACCCTTTGGGGGAGTGGGATAAAGGAGACAAGTTTTATTAAAGCATCATAAAGGACTCTTGGAAGGAAATAAGATTGAGCACATAAGGGTAGGTAAAACTTTGGAGAGTCCAAAGTTCTAGAAAGAATATGAACGTGTCAGTAAGGAGCAGTGTTGAGCAGCAAACAGAATAATAATGCTTTAGGCTTCAGAAAGCGAAACTTGGTTCTTATATTTCTTGGCTATGTGACCTTGGACAAATTATAAGGATTGCTTAAACCATGTGAGGTGCCTTGTAGTACCCAACTCCCAGTAGTTACTCAGCCAACATTAATTTATACTAATGCAATAAGTAAAGCTGGGACTTCAGGTCTGTTTTCAGTTACAGTGGAGGAATACATAGGAATGGCCAAGCACACTAGAAGTTAATGTGCATGGTTGATTGAGTCTCTAAGTCTGTCCTATATAATTATCCTCTATAATTATCATACACAAGCGTCACTCTTCATTAGCAACCCTTTTCAACTGCTATACTGATTTTTCTGAGCTTCAGCCCTTCATCTGTAAATTGGGCATAATAATGTGTGAATTGATGTGAGAATCAAAGGAATGAACATGAATGCACATATTGTGTAAACTCTAATGTGTTACACATTAGATGTAGCTATTATCTTGCATTGTCTTTGAGCAGGCTAATTGCGTTAGTAAACTTTAGTATGACTTTGTTTAGCTATTAATGTTTCAAATGCTTCAGATGCAAATATACTAAGCAGTTATTAACTCTCATCTGGGCAGTGAGGTGATTAATTAGAAAAGATTTGTGAAGTAGAGTACTTAAAATGTTGATTTTAGGGCCAGGAAGATCGCTCAGTAGCATAAGCACCTGCCTGGCAAGCACAAGGACCTGAGTTCAATCCGCTATACCACAAAAAAAAAAAAAAAAAAAATGAAGTGTTGATTTTTGTACCAGTACCATTATTGTGACTCCTTACTCTTCGAGTATTAACTGCTCTGAAAGTAATTAAATAGGGATTGACGGTAATCGTAATAGTCTGCTTCACATTTACATACCATTTTTAAGTAAAACATTCCAGTGTGCTTTGTGCCATGCTCCTGACTATCTGTGCTGAGAGAAATAACTTTATACAAGTGGTTAAGGGATTTGCTCAACTAAATGGTGCTGAGAAGTCAAGATTTGGTCCTCATGAAGCTGGTATTTGGTTCGGTCATGCTCAAAACTGTCATAAGTTCTGACAGCAGCAAAGCAGGTTGGCTAGACATCCTGGGAGTGGGAGTATGGAGCAGAAGACCTTGTCACTCCAACTAGTGTACTGTAGGACTCCTGCTCTTCTTTCTTGGTTGTCTATAGTTGCTGTTCATAACAATGACAATAATTTTATCAGTGAGCAATTGTGTCCAAAAGCTTTTAAAAGAAATCCAAAATAAGAGTGAGTTATTTAACCATAGAGAGGTTGATCTTCCTCCCGATGAAAAAAATTCATATATTATTGTTCCATGGGTTAAGGAACTCAGAGGCCAGGTGCTGTTTAACTGATCTTTCCTAAAGTCTTATAAGATGGGGTTGTCACTCTATTTTTTCTTGGTAACTCTACTTTTTCTCCTGCTCTTAGGGGTTGAGCCAGGTCTTTCATATTGATCTACATCCCTAGCCCCTTTTTATTTTTTTTATTTTGACATGGGGTCTTGCTAAGTTGCCCAGCCTGGGTTTGAATTTATGATCCTCCTAGGTCAGCCTCCCAGGGTGCTGGAATTACAGGGAGGCACCACCATATCTGGTGCACCTCTACTTTTGTAGGAAAATCCCCCATTCCTGTAGGTTGGAATGTTGAGTTATACCCTGAGGCCATATCTCAGCCCCAAAAGATAGCAGGCAGCAAGTTCTGACTTTTCAGGCAGCAAAAAGAGAAAAGCTATAGAACATTATTAGTGTGTGTGCACCAAAGGAGTGAATACACAGAGAGAGAGAAAGAGAGAGAGAGAGAGAGAGAGAGAGAGAGAGAGAGAGAGAGAGAGAGAGAGAGAATGCTTTTCCAGAAATGCACATAAGTCTCCCTTAAAGCTAACTGGTTGGAACTGTAACTACAGTTCCAGTGACCATACAAATGAAGTGACTGTGAAAAAAACCAAAGACCTGTCTGATAATAAGGAAAACAGGAGACTGGATGTTGGTTAGGTGAATAGGAGACTGTCCAGTTCAGTGTGTTAACATTACTTTTTAAAAGAGGTAGCTTCCTCGACAATATGCGAGGGGAAAGAAGAATCTTAATTCTTTCCCTTTCTATTTTTCTGGGTGCATTGTCCTTTTGTGCATATACAATCACCGTGCGAAAATCCCCCCTTCCTGTAGATTGGAATGCTGAGTTACACCCTGAGGCCATATCCCAGCCCCAAGAGATAGCAGGCAGCAAGTTCTTCGGGCTGGATCAGCAATATGTGATCACTGTCACAAATCTTTATGATTGGCTCAAATAACCATGTGGGCTTACTGGAGGCATCTACGCTTAATGTTGCAGGCTTCAGTAATGCTGAAACAGCATGAGCTTCCCAAATCCAGTTTTCAATCAGTTTTGTTTCGATATTAATTGATCCCACTTGCAGGCAAGTTGCAGTTTAGGTTCCTACTTAGGCTTCTAACTGTGTGCAGTGTAATTCTCAGACCCAGTGCACACAATGATTGGCCACAGATAATTCCTAACCCATGGTTTCTCTCTGATCTTGAGCTACTCAAAGGGCATGTAGACCTTCACATGACGTCAGTCCGGGATCAGCATGCTCCAGTTCCATAATCATCTCTAACAATGATCTTTAACCTGCATCCTTCTGTTTGTAAGCAATAATCTTTGGAATCTTTGTATCTCATTAATAAAATAATTTTTTAAAAAAATAATCCAAAACATGAGTCAGTGAGATAGCTCAGCAGTCTAAAGCTCCTGCTTAGACAAGCTTAGGCAAGCATGCAGGGACTGAGGTTCTACTCCTGTCACCACATACTGCACCAGCCCCACCCCTAGAGTGGACTGAGCCAGACACACACACACACACACACACACACACACACACACACACACACACACACACAATCCAGAGCAGGCACTATGGAATTGCCTATAATCCCAGTTGTTCAGAAAGCTGAGCAAAGAGGATCCCTTTACTCCATGAGTGCAAGATCAGTCAGGGCAACCTAGCAAACCCTGTCTCAAATAAGTGAATAAAAAGAAAATCAAAAAGCCAGCTATCCAGCTTCAAGATTAGGAAAAAGAGAAAGCATGCTACCAATGCTTTTCTATTGTTTCTCCACCACTATTTTGTTGTCCAGATGTCTTTGTAGATTTGTCCATTCCCCTGCTGCTGTGCCATTCACCTCTCTGTGTGCCATTCTTGGAGACCTGTTACTGAGCTTTTACCTAATCTTTTCCCCTTACATTCACCCCCACTCACATTCACATTGATCTACATCCCTAGCCCCTTTTTATTTTTTATTTTGACACAGAGGCTTGCTAAGGTGCCCAGCCTGGGTTTGAACTTATGATCCTCCTAGGTCAGCCTCCCAGGGTGCTGCAGTTACAGGGAGGTACCACCTTATCTGGTGCACTTCTACTTTTGTATCTGATTTTCAGGCAGCAAGAAGAAAAAAAGCTATAGAACATTAGTGGAACACACTTGAGCACACTGCTCACACACAGCCAGCACTGGTGCGCCTGCAGCCAGGTCCCCAAAAGTTGTGTCCTGGCACATCAGATCTACCCCGGCCCAATCGCCTGAGGCCATCATCCCATCCTGACAGCTGTCCACAAGCATCATTAGCAAGCCCTTGATCAAAAAGTTGCATTCCAGTCCATTTTGTATCTGTGTATTCAAAGTGGTTGGGATAGATGTATAGTTGCGTTCTCTTAATGAATAGAATGATTTGTTCTAATGGTGTTTGTAAATAGGATCACAAGTCCGCATCTTGTACAGCAATTAACCACTAAGAAGAATATTTGAACTCAGGCCCTTGTGCTTGCCAGGGAAGCGCTTATTCCACTGAGCCATCTCCCCGGCCCCTGTATTTTGTTTTAACTGGTGCAAAAACACTCAACTTACTGGACTTTTCTTCCCCACTTTCTTTTAGCGACGAGAAGTGGCAAAAACTGTGTTCTGCTTGGTTGTAATTTTTGCCCTTTGCTGGTTCCCTCTTCATTTAAGTCGCATTTTGAAGAAAACAGTATATGATGAGATGGACAAGAACCGGTGTGAATTACTTAGGTATGACTCTGTGCCCGGGAGGAAATTGGAGTTTCCCTGCTTTCCACATTTATAAAAGTTTTACATCTTCTTCACATTCTCATTAGCTCTGAGAATTAAAGTTGCAATGCTGAATTTTTTTAGCTGACATAGCCCATAACGAATCCCAAAATTTGTGCAAGCCGTGTCTATAATCTTGCCAGTCCCTCCTGGGGCTGTGCATAAGGGTTTCCACTAACCAAGGGATCGATCTATCTGTAACCATCCCACAGAACTAAAACTGCCACCTAAGCAAGCACTTTCTACAGAATTCTGCCACCTATACGACATGGCTTCTGGGCAAGAAAAATGCTTATCCTGGGGATAAATGCAACTTAGCAAATTTTAAAACAATACACTCTAACTGTTCTTTTTTTTTCCTCCTGTAGTTTCTTGCTGCTCATGGATTACATCGGTATTAACTTGGCAACCATGAATTCGTGTATCAACCCAATAGCCCTATATTTTGTGAGCAAGAAATTTAAGAATTGTTTCCAGGTAAGACTGTGTTCTGCAGATATTTTCTTTTTCTTTCTTTTTTTTCTGTATTTTAGAGAAGGGTCTACAGGGTGTTCAGGGCCTCAGTACTAGATTGGATTCATAGTGCTTCTCCTGTTTACAGCCTCCCAGGTACTGGGATTACAGGTGTGTGCCACCACACCCAGTCTCAATCTCTGCCTCAGTGTGCCCCAGGGGTGGGGCCAGCATGGCAGGAGATATTTTCTAAGGGCAATAAGATGAGTACACTAAATAGCCACGAGACATGCCAATTCCAATGTTCATGCTACTTTGGTCAGCAATACTGCTTTTTAGCAGAGATATGCAAATCACGTTGTTACCTAGACAGAGAGTCGATTGCCGGCATAACAGAAAAGCAGGAACTACTCAGACCACAAACACATTCAGAGGTTAAAACCAAAAAGACTAACTCGACTACATGCAAGTGATCTGTGCTCTTCTTAAAAGAAATGCTTAGCTGTGAGCTGCAGGTCCACAGGGTGCATAGAGCCGATTCTCACCCTTATCTTGTCCTAGACTTTAATCACAGGCTCAACAAACAAAAACTCTGCAGTGAAGAAGCTTTTCACGAATGCTATTGCATTTAATAATTTAATAACATTTAATAATAACATCTTCGTGGAAAGTAAGTGCTTATTGCTGTGGAAATGTGTACTATGAATCATTTCATTAGAAATCAGTCTGGTCCTGTTCTCAAACCTCCTTCCAGCTAAGCTAGGCAGGATTCCGGGAGCTTTATGCATGTGGAAACTGAGCAAATTTCCTCAATAAATATGTCACTTCTCCCTTTCCTGGGATGATGTAAGCGTACAACTAATCTTACCCACATTTTGTTATCTTTAACCACAATGTTTGACTTTAGCTCCTTATTTATTAAGCAAAGTTGCATAAAGGCTAAAGGCACACCTTCTAGATGAACCTGGCTCAAATGCCATCACAGCTCTAGATTTAGTAATTGTCTAACCCTGGTCTTGTTGCTTCCTCTCCTCCTTCCTCAGTTTACCCTTCCATAAAATTGGATGATCATAGTATCTGTCCCATCAATAAAGTCCAAAGGGTTAATATAAGTAAAGTTCTTAAAACAAATGTTCAGGGGTCAGAGAGATGGCTCAGTGGAATAAGTGCTTCCCTGGCAAGCACAAGGGTCTGAGTTCAATCCCCGGTTCTGAAAAAAAAAAAAAAAGTGTTCAATATGAGTTGATTATTATTAGGGATAGAATAGAGAAGGAAAGCACAGTAACAGCCTTCACAAAACTTACATCCCAAAAGGAGAAAGACACATAACCAAAGTATTAAATAAATTTTTTTTCTGGGACGAGGGATCAAACTCAGGACCTTGCACTTGCCAGGCAGGCTCTTAAGCCACTGAGCTATGGCCCCAACCTCAAACAAATGGATGAAACTTGGAATGGAAGTTTTAGAGCTTTTCAGATCGCAAAATGCTGTGTTGACATCAGATTGACTAATACGTTGATTACAACCAATACATTTTATAAGCTGGAGTTGATATCACCTGTTAATTTATATATTAATTATAAGAACCAGCAGAATCAATGTACAAATTCTTAGAAATTAAACACATGTTTGACAAATCTTCTTAAAAAGATAGCATACCCAATCTAGAGAGTCTGGGCTTAATGGAAACAGAATTAGACAGCATTAATTCAAGCTCAGTCTCTAAGCAGCCTCTCTGCTTCACTACCCTCATTCATAAAAGGAGATGCATAGTACCAACCACTTACCACTGTAGCAAGGATCAGATGCGGTACCTGACCCAGAGAGCCTCACGTGGGTGCACATTGAAGAAAACACACGCACGATAGCCCATGCCCTAGAGAACCTTTCCTCTGACCTTCGTGCCTTCATTTCCTCTTGCACTCTGTGAACAGAATTAAAACAAAGAGATCACATTCTCTGCTTAGAGGGACAGTTGACAGCCCTGAGTATACACCTGGCCCTCTTGTTGGTTGCCCCGGAGTCTGTGTTCAGCTGGGCATAGTTTTTGGCTCCTATTATTCACGGTCTGTCTCCTCTACCAGTCATGCCTCTGCTGCTGCTGTCACCAGTCCAAAAGTCTGATGACCTCAGTCCCCATGAATGGGACCAGCATCCAGTGGAAGAACCATGAACAAAACAACCACCACACGGAGAGGAGCAGCCATAAGGACAGCATTAACTAATATCATGAGGAGTGCCGGTCAATCTGCCTTCGAATCCCATTGGAGAAAATAACCAGCACCCAGACACTGGGTCTCCAGAAATCTCTGATCCTTCTTCTGTAACTCAGTTGCACCCCTGTGGGGGCCAGGGTGCTCTCCAGATGTATTTCAAGACAGTGGAGGGTGAAATGTTTATACCCAAAAAATCGATGAATTTTACTTCTTTAATTTGTTTAATTTACATAGTTCTCATGTTGTATACAAGACTAGGAATGGAGGACTGAGACTGTTAAATGAAACTAGAAGGATTTTGCTACTTTTGCATGGAAATAGTTTTCAAGTGAATGGCTGGCTTTCATGGCAGTTCTGTTGGGAGTTCCATGAAACTGGTCATCACAGAAGTTTAGAGATTATGACAAGATGTTGTTTTTTCAGTCCTTTTTGA